TGTTCCTCCATGCTTATTTTAGGGTTTTAGCAATCAGATACCTAAACAAGTTTGTAATTTGTAAGTGCAGCATAAATGACCTATTTCACACAAGGAGCACAGAAGGACTCATGAATTCACGAAGAGATTATTTTTGTAATTTCATCAATTGGAAGTAAATTGATGAAATGGTTTACACAACTCATTAATTAATTGAACTGACCTCTGAAGGTTAATGTAGAATTTCCGAAAGTGTCAGAGCAATGAAAAAGGAAAGGCAATATCAGAGCAACTATGGCATGTGCAGCAGCTTGCTGCCTCAGTGCACAGACAGCTTTGGGGTGGGGTTCAGTGGAATGACTTCTGTTTTCCCAGCACTTCCTGAATTCCAAAATAGCTTGTGCACCACAGTATACCTCTGGTGATAGTAAGCAGTTTCTCTCACATATTCTCAAAAGAGCTGCAAACCTGAAACCTGAGGAGTGATGCAAATTACAAGGAAATACATCATTCAGTGGACATGGAAAAGCACACCACATGTAAAATAGTGGCTGTTAACTACATGTAGTTAGCAAATACTGCAGCTTATAATGAATCTTTCTCCTCTCAGCTGTATTTATTTTTTTTTTTTACAGTAGTGCAATTCCACTATTTGTGGATACTTGAATGGTTTCCCTGAATAAGTGTAGCATGCCATGCCATTAGTGGCATGTGCCACATGGTGGATATTTAATGACATACCTAACAAAATAAGTCTTTCGATGCTGTATATATTTCATGGAAATTTAAGTTGTCTGACTCATTTGGTGTAAAGATAATGATCATCTGCTATTCACCTGGGAAGAACTTCAGTGGAGAAGACACACTATCCAATTGTTCCTTTAGCCTTGGTATCCCTAAAAATATTTCTGGATCTTCCATATTGCAGAAAGGAAGAGGTAGAGAAAGTGTTAACTGCTCAGAAACAGCACCTGCTTAAATAGTCACTGCCTCAATCCAGTTTGCAGAAGAGTGGTGTGGGAGCTGGGATGACCAGCTGGGAACAGGAAGGTGGCAAAACCTCCAGCTGTCTGAAGCTGAATATGCCATCAAGCATATAACCGAAGTTAGGCTTTGTAAAGCACAGTTCACGTTGATCTCTGTTTCACTTACACTGATGTTCAATGCTGGTAACAAGCTGTTCTGTAGTAGCTCTTGTTATTTTCCCAGACAGCACCCTTAGGACTGTGTAAATGGCAGAAACAGGAAAAAAAAATATGAAGAACATCATTATTCTCTAAGTGTGTTCTGTTGTTATAGAACTTGGAGAGTTTTGAGTCCCAGTGCTCCAGAGTATCTTTGATTATTAGTTCTTATGACTTCATCTTTTTTGTTATGTTGGGAATGAAGTGGGAGTCTGAATGAAACATGCGCTTAAAGATGATGGTATTTCCTGGAGTTTATGGAACACATGTCACAACATGATGAATTGATATGTTTACCTTGAGTGTTTGTAAGATAGAAATCCTCACTTATTCCACACTTACATAAATAAAATTAGAGGTAGTTTACAACAAAATCTAATTCTTAGACAAAAATCTCTTAAGGTTCATCATAAGAATGTTGAAGGAAGGGATTTTTTCCTTGAAAGCATTGAAAGATACACCACCCTGTTTCTTTTACCCTCTGAGATTTAGAAATATACTAGCATGCTCTTCCATACAAAATCCAAATGTATAAGCACCTTTTTAATGAATTAACATGCTTAAATATCTGAATACAGCTATACTTTAAGCTGGTTTGTGATGTACTTGGTGACCAATATTACTGTTAGCATGAATGTAACTGGCTTAAATGTATTTCCTGCTTGCAAGGGATTTAGCTGTGAAGGGCTATAATGCTGAACAATACATCAGATTTGTTCCTGTGAACAGAAAGCTAGTTGATTGGTTTTCTTAAGCTTAATTGCATGAGGATAGATTAAGTTATAAGGGGCAAAGGAGCCACACTCTGTGAGGTGGGACTGGCCTTGCTCAAGAGTACCCCTGCACTGTCCATAACACCAGCACTGCAAGATGCTGGACTAAAGATTCAGTTCAGCATGAGCCAGAACTGGGCTGCAGCTTTCATAGTTGCTGCACTTCTGATCAGCAGCAAATAGGAGGTAATTCACTGTTGTTTAACCTACAGTGGAGAAGTATATAGATGAGTTGTATCACCTCGCCTGTTCAATTTCCAAGGCTCATAGAGTTAAGGTAACCTCAGAGCTGCCAGTAAGAAACTTTTTGTTGTTGTTGTTGTTGTTTTTTCTCTTCATAAGAACTATCCAGGAAGTTCTTAATGCACAGAATTGAAAAATGAATCTTGAGATCGTCCTTTACCCCTCACAGGTCTTAGAGCATCTTGTATCTGATTGACATCAGAGAACCTGAAAAAGCACACATGTATGGATGTAGTTAAATAACTACACAAACTTTCTGAGGCAAAAGAAGAGGCTTGTTGGGTCTGATGGATGTTCTTAGACCCTATCTCCACAAGGAGTTTTGGGCAGGAGAACTTTAACCATGATATTCGTATGTCAAATGAAGCTCTGTATGTGTAGCTCTGCACAGAAAGGGACTAGAGGCATGCTACTGCAGTGTATAGAGGCATCTACTGTAGTCTAGTAATATGAACTACTAGCTCACTTTATAAAAGTGGGTATGTGTGAAAAGTCTTTGCAGCTTATTTAAAGTATAGTGAATAATTCTTAAAAGAAAAGCTACAAATCTCCATTTGAAGATGAACTGAAAGATAGCTGGATTCTGTGAAGAGACTTTTCTCCACTCCTTATTGGTGTTTGTTTTTTGTTTTGTTTTGTGTTTTTTTCTGATGTTTTCTTCAAACCAGGTGTAGCTACCAAAAAACAAGTCTACAGTGTAGATTACCTCATGTCTGTTTACTTCCCCCCCCCCCCCCCCCCCCCCCTTATTAGAAAGACGGTAGCTGTCATCTTTATCTCATTATCATTATCAGCACTTTTGTTTTGCATTGACTATAATTACAAGGTTAGGATTTCCTACTGCACTCCAGATCTGGGAGGGGAAAAAAAAAAAAAGAGTTCTGCTGCAAGCTTGCGGTATCTGAGTTCTTTCTTTCAGTACTGACTGGAGCCTGAGATCTTCTTGTAACTAACTCACTATTATCAAGGAAGTCTGCAGTTGTCTGCTCAGTTCATTGTTCTGCTTTGAAATGTAAGATGGTCGACTGTTCCTGTTTAAAGTGGTAACATCCTTAAAACATTGTTTGCTTTTCAAAGGCTGTCTCTCCTCTGTCTTCACCAGATACATCAAGATAGTAACCACAGGTCAGCAAATTACCGACTTGTGGGGGGAAAAGGATTGTGTCTTTCTTGGCCATGACTGTCTGCAAAGTGGTAGATGTCACTTTCAATTTTACACCAGCTGAAATTCTTTGGTATTTTGTCATGCAGTTCCTCCCAGGGAGGGAATCCTTGTTCCCACATGTTTATATCTTGATTGGTAGTGGGAGAGGCTGGCTTTCTTTGCTGGTCAGCAAGCGAGGGTAAGAATTCAATCATTACTAAACAAGGACACTTTCCTTTACAGGTGTTTTGATGTTGTTTCTTCTGTCCCCACTGCAGAATTCCTATACTTAAGCATATTAACTGTTATTTTAACTTGGTGACTTATTTATTGACGTTCCAATCAAATAATTACCAGGAGAACCAACCTAGTGTACTTCAGCAGAAGCAGTATTTAATATGTCCATTTTAAAAAAAAAAAAAAAAAAAAAAAGACTGTGTTGTTAAATATAAGAATAAAGCCTTTCATGTAGGACTGAGGCCAGTGTGCTTTCATAGCAAGTTCTCCAGTGCCTCGGTGAATAGACTTAAAAGATTTAAGTAAATGTGAAAAAATTGAAACAGCTTCATGCTGTTGAAGAGGAAGAGAACAATTCAACTTGGGAGGTAGAGAGGGCTTCCTGCAAGCAAGTCTCCTTGTGCCCATAAAGCAAAACTCATGCCACACATGGGCTGGGTTCTGGCTCTGTACACAGGCTGGAATTTCATGAACTGTGATAAATTCCTACCAACAGTAGTGCCCAAGGAGGCACATAAAGCATGTGGGAGTGAGCAACGACAACATTCTTGAAAATAAAAGGTTTAATGGGGTCCCATCCAACAAAACTAACAAAATTAGGCACCATAGTTTAGCTAAACTAGGCTCCAACTCTGAATAAACATTTTTGGGGAGCCTCTCTCTTTCCATGTCTGACTTTTTTTTTTTTTTTCCCCCTTCTTCACAATGGAAAGAGTTACAGGAAGGTGAAACTGGGATTACCCCAGAGCAATTAAAAGGATATCTGAAGGATATTGCCAATTGGAGCACAGTAAAAGAAAACACTTTTAATGTGTCTGGACACAAGTATGGACTCAAACTACCCTGTTCTTTATGGCAAGCTCCATGCTTGCCAGATTTCTTTATCTCCATGGAATCACATTGAGCTTGATACATTTGTCATAATTCAGGGCTCCTTTACTCTACCTCACTTCGTTTGCTATGGAATAAACACTACCAGAAGACTGACCTACTGTCACTTAGGGGTCAGGAGCTTTGGACAGCCAGGTCCAGAATATCCAAACCACTGAACTCCTCAAGCCACTGGATCATACTCTGTGTCAAAGCAAAGCTGTCTTCCAATTTTCAGCGCAATAGTATTGTACTGTTGTATTTAGAACACTGAAGAAAAACTTAAAACATGCAAGTTTTGTACCATCACTGAGTTCATGTTTTTGGACAATCATTTTTGACTCAAGATGGAAGAAGTCTTTAATTATCCTTTTTCCTTCTATTAAAGCAAACTCTTCTCCTTGAAGACAGGATTCAGCGTCTCACCTTTTACTAAAAATAGAAGTAGGAATGCTGATCATTGTTCTGAGATCTCCTTGGCTATAAAATCAGGCACCCATTTGTGGGAGGGATGATGGAATACAGCGTTTCTGTGTACAGTAATCAATGCTGAACTGGTGTTCTTTACAGCACCACTTCTGGGAATCCCATGGCTGCTACTACAAAAAGCTCCAGCTACTGAGCCGGTCTCTTAGGTAATCAGCCACTCGCTTATATCATGTGCTAGGTTTCTTTTTAATTAGAAAAACATGTTGTTTCTTACAAGCAAGAGGCTTCTGACATTAGCACCATGTATCTGTCTTTGGGCATTTGGTCCCAGATTAATTTAGAAACTAAAGCAGGAACAGTCTCATGAGCAAATTAAGGTTTTTTCCCCACCATCATGGAAGATCAGTGCTGCTCTGAAGCACTTTCAGGAAGGTCCCACTTTGAAATGGCCTTTAATACCAGTGATTTCTAATGGGATGTTGAAGTATGACAGCCTGAATGTATGCAATGAATTCCAAAAGTCTAATGTTTATCTTTTGTGCTGCTAATCCATTCTGCTGCCAGCAGATTAGTTTTCAATATGTTGAAATAAAAGTTTGTTCACTCTTTTGGGTCCCAACACTGTAGAATTGGATTACAGGTTCTGCTTGCTCTTTTCCTTCTGTGGATACCTTAAGATGAACCTTTCTGGGTCTTTTGCTTTCAGTGCTGTTCTTCTTTCACTTTTGGTCCCCGATATATTTTTCTTGTGGTGAATTGCTGTGGATCCACCTCAGTTTACCTCCTCTCAGTTTCCAGCTTGTTCTAGTATCTCCTTATATCTGCTCAAATTTCTATATGGTCCTATTTTTCTATGGCAAAATATAGACCCCTGCTCTCCCACCCTGCTGCCCTCTAAGCTCCCATTCATGCTTGCCACCAGCTGACACCAGCAGTACGTTTTGCTCACAACCCACTGTAGCTCCAAATATTGAATCAGTATATCTGAGAGGTGGTCTTTTCTTCCCAGTCATCTGACCACTGTTGTACCTTCTGGCCTTGCAGGGAATTCAAGTGGAAAGAAGTTAAGCTACAGCGGGAAATTGCCTGACTTGCTAAAATGGGCTCCAGAAACCTACAATACGCAATGATTAACGCCATGATACTACCTATTTGAGACAAACAACAGTGCTCTTCACAAGCAGCTCAGATTCCTTGACGTGTTCTCATTTTATTTTTTTCCTGCAATATTGTCTTCAGACATTCTGTTTTATTTGTGTCACTTGTCATAGATTAATGATTCTGCAGCTCTGAATAATTTTATTACCTACTACTGTGTATTGGCACTAATGAATTACGTTATTTCTGCCCCATTATTTATCAGTCTTCAGTACAATTGAGACACAACCTATTGGTACTTGAAAAATGTTCTGCCACTTCTTACAACTTGAACTGTATTTTATTACCATGGTTTTAGACCTTAAACTTTCCTTGATTTATATGGTTCATATGATGGTACACTTCTACATCCCTGAGAGACTGCTGAAGAACTCTTTCATTTGGAAAATTTACGGATTATGAAACATTTAAGAGGCTGTCCAGATTTCCCCAATGTGTTTTCATCAACTCCAGTGGTGAAGAAATGCACTCATTCCCAGAAATGTTTTTTGGAGTAATTCTCTCTCTATATATTCAGAGATGTATACTAGAGCTGGTGTGCACACATATGTCTTGTAGGTACCTTGAAGCCAACTGAATTATTAAATAGGATGAATTTATAGGATCCATCTGGATATTTAAAAACCTGATAATTAACCAAGTTCTTTCCCCTCAAGATTGACCTTTCTTGTTCTATTCAGATGTCCTGTACTTGTACTTGCTGCATATCATTGTGTACAGTAACAGCTTTTTGCTTGTTCAGAAAACTGGAACTTCACTCAAACATCAGTTACCTAGCATTTCTTGTCACATATGACCCTTCTTATGCCATGAACATGTTTTGTTTTTCAGTCTGAATTTAAAGCAAAAAGCCTTTATTCTGCATTTATATTGGTGTGAAGAAAGGGAATTAATACATGTGTATGTATATAATGACTTCACATCTGTAGCTAAATTGGTCTGAAACAATAAGGATCTGTTATTTTTACTGGAGCAGGGGGAAATAAATAAATTCCACTGCCACTGTAATAACTGTCTTGCTCTGTTTTGTCATTGCTTAGTGTCCTTCAGAACTATATCATTTGAACAATATTGCTGGTATGAAACTAATGTGCTCAGACAGTAACCAAAACAGTGCTGTCCCATAAGGTTTGTTATGTTGGTAGTCAGAATTAGAATGAAACATTATCTATAAAGGCAATAAAACACTGCCATGAAAAGCCTGGCTAATTGTTTCCCTGCACTTTCAGTTGATAATACCACCTCAATAGATATCAGACTTCAGTAAAGTAATTTTGGCACGGGAGATGAAGTCAGTGGAAATTACTAGGTTATGAGGTCATGTAGGGCTCACATTATTTGTTTGGTAGGTCTGCTGTCACATGGAGTATAATCCTAATATAGAAGCGGTTCCCTTAGGTGAATGTAAATGATCTTGTTCAACTTGACAAACTTTTTGTTTAAGAAGGTGAATCACTAGTTCTACTGTCAGGCCTCCATAATGCATCACTACCTGTGACGTTAGACATCATATGAGTAATAAGGTTTGGTTTGAGGACAGATGATCTTTTACCCTAAATGTTTGCAGCATAACTTGAACTGATGGGTTTCTTTCCACACCCAGAGCAATATGATAGCATTAGGTACTGGGGTAGTTATGAACTGTCTCTAAGCTGCCTGTTCCCTTCCAGCTTGGGTCTGCAAAGGACTTTTCCTCAGAACTTGGTATCTGCAGCATAAAATGTCCCTACAGATCTGCAGTTTAGCAAGGTATATGTCCTAATTCCTGACCTTTCCCAACTCACCTTTAACTTGCATTGTACCTCCATATTGTTTCTACATGTTTCTTATCTCTGGAGAAGTATCGGGCAGTTTCAGCTAAACTGTGGTTCTTGAGAACTGTACTTGTTTTTTTCTATTAGAAAAAAAAAAAAAGTGAATGTACTCCCGAGTACAGAGCTGTTGTCCAAGTTATGAAAGAACTACTATATATTTTTTTAATATTCTATAACAGTAGCTAACAGATTTTCTCTTGGCGTTGCCAGCAACTTAATTTTTTCACTTGGGATCCTGGAGAAATAATTAACCTGTTAAGCTAATCTACTCTTAGCCACCATCTGGCTGATACTTCCCAGAAGTCAACTCCAAAACAAGGGGACATCTAGCACTCCTGGCTAATGAGAGCAGAAACCTTCTGAATTCCACAATTCTTTTTTTCAAGACAACTTTGTTTTCTTTGTTTGCTAATTTATCTGCATTCTTGTACTTTCATCCAGTGGTGGTATTGTTGTATTGACTTCATAGAGTGATTATGATGACTTTCCTCTTCTCTTCTTCTTGAAAGTAGAACTTTTTCTTTTTCCTTGCTTTCGTGCCAGTCTGTTGCTGGATATGTTGTTACAATATACACTCTTAAATGATCACATGCTTTAAATAATTGGTGAAATTTTTCAATAGGATTATAAGCTTAGGAAATGAGCTGATGCAGCTGGAATACACATCACAGGGAGAAAAATAACTCATAGTATATAGCTATTTGTCCTTGAACATGTAACTCCAATTGTGATACATCTCCCCAACATTTAGATATGCCTAACCTAGTCTTCAGTGAGAACTGCTCTCCTTTCCAAGGACAAAGACCCTTGAAAGCCTGAAGGAGGTGTAAAGTGAAACAAAATGTTTTAAGAAGTTATTTGAAACCTGGTGCTTTAAACTGAAGCTGGACTTCCAATGGTTAAAGCTGGACAGTGCAATGATTAAAAGGTTTGTCAGCACTTGACAAGGTGTACTGCTTCAACCATTTGATCATATCTACTTATTCATCTACCTGTGCTTCTACTGGTTTCCAGGAAGTTGCACTGGCTTCACAGAGCAGCAGGACTCTTTTAAAACCTATATTGCATTCCTGCATGGCCTGCTGTGAAATGGAGGAGATGGAAGAGGGATGAGGTATGCACATCAATGTATACCCCCTTGGCCTTATGGGTGCTTCTATTATACATGATGATCACAACATATTATAGCAATCTCTTAATCACTCTACTGAAAGCCCATCTTGTTAAAATGGGGGCTGAACTTAGAGCTGTGAAGCTCGTGGTGTGTTTGTGTTTGTGTTTTTTTTTTTTTTTTAATTCTCCTAAAGCATGAAGCAAGCTGTATTCTAGAACTGTAAGTTATTTTTTCAGATTTAGTTAACTTCTAATTTTGTGTTGGAAAGAGTTATTATATAGTTTAATCCTAAATGCAGGTTTAAGGCAATCTGCAGTGAATTACTTAGTGTCAGGACTACATAAATCAATAGAATACTGCAGCAATTAAATACCTGCATTTGGCTGTTCTCTTATGTTCTTCTCCTAACTACATTCTGCTTTTTTTTTTTTTTTCATGTGGTGTATACAAATATGAATGGAGTACACTGAATTTCCTTTCTGTTCCAGAGGAATCAGTTCCTCATTTTAGTTGTTCATCATTAAGCACACCTTCATTTTTTTTTTTTGTCTTACCTTTGTCCTATCTTCTAAGCACAATAGCAATGAAGGCAATATTTTAATTTAAATAGGAAAAATATCTTACCCTTCTTCCAATATCTCAAGTTTCATGCCATTGAAGTTTCATGCCTTCAAATGCCTTTGAAGGTTCTGCTCTTACATGCACCTTTCAGCTAGGGACAAGTTTTGCTGACAGTGTGGTATCTCTGCTCTTTTTTTCATTGGCTACTCACATTTAGTTTCAGCAGGAAAAAAAAAGAACAGATGTGATTTTAAACCTACGAAGGAATGAGAAAGCAAGTAATGTGCATTAATTACAAACACAGGGGGATGCTATTAAGAGAACTTCTAGACTGTACATTAGAAATAGCTTCCTGTCAGAAAGAGATGTGATTATAAAATAGATGTAGATTAAAAACATGACAATGTCTAGATAAAACCTGGCTTTGATAACGTGTTTGTAATTTCCTTATCTGGGATAATGCTGTATTGGTCTGGCTGTCAGGAATGTTGAGGTTGATAGGTTACACATTCCTAGTCTTTATTTAAAAGGTTTTGTACTCTGTTTATAATAAAAATAATACATGTATTACAGCCTGCAGTAAGGTGTCTTCCATGTGAATAAGGGTGCCAGACTGAAAGATTTGGTGGGGAGTGTGGGGGTAAGTGTTGCAAAACTCAGAGTGTGGCATAATGTGGGCTATTACAAAATCTAAGCCCTTAAATGATGGCTCCCTGCCCTCTTCTCTGCACTGGTACTGTTATTTGAGGGGTCTTCTTGTAAATACAGCTACAAAACTGGAGTATCTGGGGAGAGGGGAGGAAAGAATGAAAATCTACATCTTTTCCGCATCACTCTAGCTGTCTAGCTCTTAGAGCAGTGATACAGATATGATGCTAGGGCAAAATATGGCAACAAGAGAGATAGAAAATGTCAAAATCCTCTTCATCTGACATTGTAATTGGTGTAGAGTTGTGATTTTAATTTTTTCTTTTAATTTCCAGCTATTTTAAAAATTTTGTTCTTCCTATATATCAAATCTATCAACTCTCCTAGGAAACTGGAAAGTCTGATTATATACTGGTGGAAAAAGTACTCTCTATAACTTTCCTCTTTGTGTATTTGATTTCTGTTTCTCCATAGTGAATTTTGTCATCAGTAATGTCTGTGGATTAAGTATCACAACCATCTAGGCAAATGGGACTTGATATTGAAGCAGCAGTATTATGCTGGCCTTGTTGGCTTGAGTGCTTTAATCTGGAAATTGAATCAGTACTATGCAACCTTTTGACCTCTTTAGCAATGAAAATCTTATCACAAATGCAGTGGCAGAAACACCTAACAGGCTGAAATATGCTCACATAATTAATTTAATGACCTTGAATACTAATATCTTCAAATTGGAAGTATGTGCATCATCCAGACATAAAAGGTTTCTGAAGCAAAGGTTCTATGAATTTATCACTTAAGTAATAAATGTGCCAGCTGTGGCTTCAGCACTAACATTGCTGCTGTCATTAGGGGGTCTTGTATGCTTTAGTGATTGTTAGATTCTGGAAGCTTCCTTAAGCTGCAGCATTTACAGGCTTACAGAACATTCTAGGATCTAGAAAGGTGTCAAAACATCAAGTAATGTCTGGTTCCCCCTCTGTTCAAAAATAAAATAAAAGATGAGTAGGACAAACTTGGAAATCTTGTTGCAGCATGCTAATTACAAAAAAAAAAAAAAAAAGAAAAAGAGGATAACTCCAGAAGGTTGTGTGATGAAAAGGTATGGGCTGAATCAGGAAATCTTGACTTCTCTGAATGCCTTCCTTGACTTCTCTGAAGGCAATCTTCATAATCTTCATAATCAACATAAGAAAGCCTGAATAAGCATCTCACCAAGTAATGTAGATTTTCATGGAATCATACTTTGCTTCACAGTGAACAATGTTAGAAAGGACTTCAAAGTCCTTCCTATATCTTATTTGAGAGTAAAGAAGGATGATGCACTGTTTTTTAGAAGCTTTCCTCTTTCAAGTTGTACCTGCTTTTCTCTATATAAGACTTCCTTATTTTCCCTCTCTTTTTCTTGCAGAAAAAATATCTTCAGTATCTTTATGTTCTTATGACTTTATTTCACTGTGTACATCCCAATTTTTAGTCATAGCAACTTCTAGTGAGCTTTCTAGATTTCAAAGGTTCTTATTTTGGGATAGTATCTGATTTTTTGAGAGTACCAAGAAGTTCACGTACCTCAGGTGTGCTGGTTTTCCTTTTATTTACTATATTATTTATTTATTTGAGGTTGCAATATCAGTGAATCCATCTGACTTTGGTAGATAATGATGATGAAAGTAAAGATGCTGTCCAAATACTTAGCACCACAAATTAGTGACTATCTCTGAAAACTGATGAACTTTTAAAATAATAATATTAATGATGATGATTATGCACACTTGATTAAGAATTTTGTCATGGACTAGGCCACAAGTATTTTGCATGCCCTTTATCTTCAGGTACGCATTGCAGTCTCTGGAGACTTCTTGTGACTTCTG